CTCTGCTAATGAGTGGGGTTGTGTTCCTGTCTTGCTAGTTGTTTGGCATAGGGTGTCCAGCACTGTAGCTTGCTGGTCGTTGAGTGAAGCTGGGTGCTGGTGTTGAGATGGAGGTGTCTGGGAGATTTTCGCCATTTGGTATTATGTGGAGCTGGGAGGTCTCTTGTGGACCAGTGTCCTGAAGTTGGCTCTCCTACCTGAGAGGCACAGCACTGACTCCTGGCTGCAGCACCAAGAGCCTTTCATCCACACGGCTCAGAATAAAAGGGAGAAAAAGAAGGAAGGAAGGGAGGGAGGGAGGGAGGGAAAGGAAAGAAAGAAAGGAAGGAAGGAAGAAAAGAAAACAAAAGAAGGTAATATAAAATAAAGTTATTAAAATAAATAATTATTAAGAAAAAAATACGGACGCATGGAACCCTAGGACAAATGGTGAAAGCAAAGCTATACAGACAAAATCTCACACAGAGGCATACACATACACACTCACAAAAAGAGGAAAAGGGGAAAAAGTAATAAATCTTCCTCTCAAAGTCCACCTCCTCAATTTGGGATGATTCGTTGTCTATTCAGGTATTCCACAGATGCAGGGTACATCAAGTTGATTGTGGAGCTTTAATCCGCTGCTTCTGAGGCTGCTGGGAGAGATTTCCCTTTCTCTTCTTTGTTCTCACAGCTCCCGGGGCTCAGCTTTGGATTTGGCCCCGCCTCTGCGTGTAGGTCGCAGGAGGGCGTCTGTTCTTCGCTCAGACAGGACGGGGTTAAAGGAGCCGCTGATTTGGGGGTTCTGGCTCACTCAGGCCGGGGGGAGGGAGGGGTGCGGATGCGGGGCGAGTCTGCGGCGGCAGAGGCCCGCGGGAGATTGCACCAGCCTGAGGCGCGCCGTGCGCTCTCCCGGGGAAGTTGTCCCTGGATCCCGGGACCCTGGCAGTGGCGGGCTGCACAGGCTCCCCGGAGGGGAGGTGTGGATAGTGACCTGTGCTCGCACACAGGCTTCTTGGTGGCGGCAGCAGCAGCCTTAGCGTCTCATGCCCGTCTCTGGGGTCCGCGCTGTTAGCCGCGGCTCGCGCCTGTCTCTGGAGCTCCTTTAAGCAACGCTCTTAATCCCCTCTCCTCGCGCACCAGGAAACAAAGAGGAAAGAAAAAGTCTCTTGCCTCTTAGGCAGTTCCAGACTTTTCCCCGGACTCCCTCCCGGCTAGCCGTGGCGCACTAACCCCCTGCAGGCTGTGTTCACGCCGCCAACCCCAGTCCTCTCCCTGCGCTCTGATCGAAGCCCGAGCCTCAGCTCCAGGCCCCGCCCGCCCCTGCGGGTGAGCAGACAAGCCTCTTGGGCTGGTGAGTGCCGGTCGGCACCGATCCTCTGTGCGGGAATCTCTCCGCCTTGTCCTCCGCACCCCTGTTGCTGCGCTGTCTTCCGCGGCGCCGATTCTTCCCCCCGCCGCCCGCAGTCTCCTCCCGCGAAGGGGCTTCCTAGTGTGTGGACACTTTTCCTCCTTCACAGCTCCCTCCCACTGGTGCAGGTCGAGTCCCTATCCTTTTGTCTCTGTTTATTCTTTTTCCTTTTGCCCTAACCAGGTACGTGGGGAGTTTCTTGCCTTTTGAGAGGTCTGAGGTCTTCTGCCAGCGTTCAGTAGGTGTTCTGTAGGAGTTGTTCCACGTGTGGATGTGTTTCTGGTGTATCTGTGGGGAGGAAGGTGATCTCCGCGTCTTACTCTTCCGCCATCTTCCCGATTCCCCCGCCATGACTTTAAAGCTTCAAAGACTTCTTGCTTAAGAAACCACCGAGTCTGATTCTGTTCGAAGTCAGCCCCCAGGGTTTACACAAAGGACATTTTCAGTTTCTTCAAAGTCCCCAGGGGCTTCCCTGGTGGCACAGTGGTTAAGAATCCGCCTGCCAGTGCAGGGGACAAGGGATCGAGCCCTGGTCCGGGAAGGTCCCACATGCCGGGGAACAACTAAGCCCGTGTGTCACAGCTACCGAGCCTGTGCTCCAGAGCCCGCGAGCTACAACTACTGAAGCCCGCGTGCCTAGTGTCCGTGCTCCGCAACAAGAAAAGCCACCGCAACGAAGACCCAATGCAGCCAAAAAAAACCCAGAAAAAACCCAGAAATCCTTTTTTGTACGTCAGCCGCTGGATGCAGGGAGGCTGATCCAGGCCCCACCTGTTGGACGTTTTGTGAAAAACAGCTTGTGCCGGAGTTTGCTGTTCTCTTTCTAAAGGCCTGCAAACCTGTCTGTGTTTCATTTGAACTTTGCAGCTGCTGTTGAGCACCCCATTTCTTTTCACCAACTCTCTGAGTGCTGTGTCACTCCCAGTCTGCACACGAGGGACCCAAGTGGTGGAGGTGATTCTAGGAGGTAGAAGCTGAGCCAGGTTTTCTGACCGTGGCGTCTTCCAGGGCTAGCCCGTTACCAACCTGGGAGGGCAGACAGTTTCGTGGTGCTGGAGGAGTTGCTCTGGGGAGCTTGGTACTGCCGGAGGGAGCTTTGACATTCAGCCTCCCACTGCAGCGCAGCCTCCGTCCGGCCACAGGCAGGACCGCAGGTCGCCTGAGAGGCCTGGTGACCTGGGAAACACGCCTGGCCTTGGCTCCAGGTCCCCAGCCAGCAGCAGGGCCTGCTCGTTGGCATTCCAGGCCTCGCTGGCCAAGGGGCATGGAGAGCCCTGCGCCTTTACCTAGCTTACTCAGCTTATCTCCTGCCAGTCGGGCCCCTCTCCGGTCTCTGAAGGAAGCCAGCTGGGGGCCCTTCTTGGGAGCAGCTTGTCCTGTCCTGGCGGGGGCAGCATCCCCGAGCCCCTTCCAGTGTATCCAGGGTTGTCTGGGCCCTGCTGTGAGGACAGGCATCTTACACTGTGCTCTTACTCTGGGCTTGTCTCATTGTTTCAGTTGACTTCGTGGAGGGAGTGGTGAAGGAGGCGGTGGAGCCTGCCAAGGAGGCTGGAGAGAATGGTACGGCCAGGGTCGGGGCGGGGAAGGAGGGAAGCTGGGTGCTGGCAGCAGCCTGATCCTTGCCTAACCAGATCACACCTTGACCCCAGTGTGGCATCCTTTCAGTTGGTGTATAATTATCTGTGCTCATTTGAGGTCACAGGCCGTACTTTGCTAAAGCAAGTTCCATCTAGATAGTCGTCTCTGTGGAATGTTAAGAGGATGACGTCACAAAAGACCAGGTGCAGGCGTGCTGGAACAAAACATCTGAGACATAAAATCATATATTTACATGAATACATATTTACATAAATGTTTATATGTTTGTGCTGTATCACGATGTAAAAAAGCACGTGTATATCTCACTCCTTATAACAAAATAGATTCCGGATGGATTAGGACTTAAATACAAATACATGAAATTATTAAATTGTGAGAAGAGAACATAGATTTTGGCATAATCTCAGAGGAGGGAGGGTCTTTTTAACGATGACAGAAAATCCAACAGCTATAAAGGAAATACTAGGTAAATTGGACAATATAAAACTTCAAAATTTTCCATAGTGGAAAAAAAAACTGTAAGCCAAACCAAAAGAAAAACCACAAACTGGGCAAAAATATTTGTAGTAGAAATGATAGCCCAATATAAAAATGACCAAAAGATACAAACAGGCAGTTCACAGAAAAATGAAGCATGAGTAGGCAGTACACCCACAAGCAGATGCTCTGTCTCATTAATAGTTGGAGAAATGCAAGCTGTTTGGAGAAATAAAAGCAAATTTGAATGCATTCCTCCAGGAGCTGTGCTGCCCTCTGCCCCACAGACTCCTCCAGGGCATGACCCGGTAAGACTGCCACATCCCACAGGCCACTCCAGGTGACTCCAACCCAGCGAGTGACTTGAATTGTTTACTTTGCTCACCTGGGTATCATTTCTTCCTGACAGCCGTTGCTGGAGCTTTAAAGAAGACCCATGAGACAAGGGACAAAGTGGTAAAGGAAGTCACTGAGACGGTGACCAACACAGTCACAAATGCTGTCACGCACGCAGCAGAAGGCCTGGGCAAACTGGGACAGTGAGCATGCCTGCCACCAGCAGGCTCTTCCTGAATCGCAATAAAAAGCTGTGAAATGTGTACACTGAGCCCTGGGTTTGTTCCTGTTTGGGTGGAAACATTGTGTTATGTCCTGAGTGTCGCACCACTCTGCAGGGACAAGAGGCCAACACCTTGGCACCCACTGGGGGTCAGATAGGTCCCTGTGATAAATCAGATGTGCTGCTCTCACATATGACTTCTTATGTCAGCAAGGAGCTCTTGAGAACTGTTAGTGTCTGTGCTACATTTCTTAAAAGCCTATTTTCGCAGCAGCTATACATAGCTTTCAGACACCTCAGTGCTTTAAGGACACCCCAAGGGAGGACCACAGTTCAGCTTATGTGTTCTTTGCGTTTTCCTTGAAATATTCTTACAGCAATCAGGGAAGATAACAGACCAACCTGACTGAGGGGTTAGCTGGGCAGGCTCAGGCAGGTTGAGCTGCTTCATGTTCTGAAAGAGGCTTCAGAGAAGTGTTTCTGCTGGACAGTCACAGAATCAGGTCATGGAGAAACCGAGTCCACTGCCTGTTGGCTGCTGGAGCTGCTGTCAGATCTCCACTCAGAGACTTGGGTTAGGCCTAACTGGCGGTAGTGGGTCAGAATGCCTGGTCTTCTCTCCTTCCTGCCACGAGTGAGTCAGTACCATTAAAGTTAAACATGTTTAAATAGCATTTAGCTTAACATTTTGGATTAAAGAAAAAGGAAATGGCTTGTAAAGATACGGCATTGCTTATTCATCCTGCTGGAAGTTATTGTTCTGAGGGGAAATTAGAAGAAAAGGTGTTTTGTGGAATGAGTTAGTTGCTCCCCACATTTCTGGAGTTCTTTCAGAATTGGCTTCACACGTTTCTGAACGGCCCAGGAATATCCAGTGTTCTGGCTTGGAACATTCGCTATTGTCCAGCTAGATATGGACCTTATATCTTGGTTTGGGTTCTGATGACTTTTGAGTTCTCCCAATCCAGACCCAAGCTCAAAAGGATGTGGAGGGCTTCCCTGGTGGCGCGGTGGTTGAGAGTCCGCCTGCCGATGCAGGGGACACGGGTTCGTGCCCCGGTCTGGGAGGATCCCACATGCCGTGGAGCGGCTGGGCGCATGAGCCGTGGCCGCTGAGCCTGCGCGTCCGGAGCCTGTGCTCCGCAACGGGAGAGGCCACAGCAGTGAGAGGCCCGTGTACCGCAAAAAAAAAAAAAAAATAGAATGTGGATTGTGGGTGGCAATGTCAACCAGAACAGCCTCTTTGTTTGTGTTTTTAAATTTTAGGAGGCAAATGAAGTTGTTTTTACTTTCTGCAGGGTTTTTGTTTTTAAATTTTTATTGGGGTATAATTGATTTACAATGTTGTATTAGTTTCAGGTGTACAGCGAAGTGAATCTGTTATACAAATATATACACTCTTTTTTTAGATTCTTTTCCTATATAGGCCATAACAGAGTATTGACCAGAACAGCCTCTTTGGATGGCAGTTCCTCTTACCAGACTTTATTCTTTGGGTGTACAGGCAGAGGCCTGAAGAGCGAGGATACATTCTGACATATTAATGATAGCAAGAGATTGGAAACACCCTAAAATGATAATTAGAAATTACTTGGATGGCAAGCTTTACTCTGCTTATTAGATTTGACAATTTAGAGTTGACACTTATTACTTCTAGTGTATTAATAATGCTTTAGCTTGAAAAATGGGATTTGTGCTTAGATGGCCACCTAACGACTGGTTAACATTTATCACATTTATATGAAATGGAATACTCTGGCTGTTAAGAATGAGGAAAATATACATATATCATTAGGGAACATGTACAAATAAGTTAATAGTTTGTGAAATGTATGTAGAATAAGTTCATTTTTACAAAGCAAACATCAGAATAGAAGAAAACTGGTAGCATGTATATAGCAAATATTAACAGTGTTCAGCTCTGTGAGAATATGAGGAATCCTCACTTTTTATATTATGTATTTCCATGATGCTTGAATTTAAGAGAAAACCAATACATATGTTTTAAAATGTGGTTGTGGAGGCCACATACTAGCTTATTGAAGATTGCTTCCTAATTAAGTGCTACTCGAAGGTTGCTGGTTTCAAACTTCATTGCCACTTGGCAACAAGGGAAGTAAAGAAACACAGTGTTTAGAAACTCTTAACGCAATTGGGCATCTCCTGGACCTACAAGAGTGTGATCAGTGGAGAATTCTTGTCGAATGGGGGGTATAGACCAGTTCAGGTTGTTGAACTTGTACGGTAAGTTGCATGTGAACTAGTCACAGGAAGTAGCAGAAGTAGCACCACATGTCATGATGAATGAGGTTAAGGAACAAACAAAAATCAAAAAAACCGGACCTCCTTCACAGAGAGTTGGAGAAGCACTCCCACGTTCCTTTAACTTCACCTTGCAGTGTGCTGTTCTAAAATAGATACTTGCATCTCTCATTTTCTTTTTACTGTGTGTATTGTGCAGTGAGGGGCATGGCATCAACCCCAGACTCTAAGCATGTTATAAGAAGCAATCAAGAGTGATGTCAAAGAAAATCGCTGACTTTCTCCAAGATCTCCAAAAATTCTCCATAAAAATCATGAGAAAACTGACAAAAATATGGTCAGAATCAACTTTTCTCAGAACTCTGGAAATTAACCAAAGGCTTACAGTAATCCAGGGAGTATTTACATAAAACAAATTTAAAACAATCTTTTTTTAAGAACAGCAGCTTTGTAATGTTTTTAACTTGCCCTATTCTTTTCTCATCTCTCCCCCCGCCACCTTTCCAGCTCCACTGTAAGCCTTGAAAACCAATGTAGTAGGGAAGAACCTTTGTATTCTATTACAAGCTAATCACTAAAGGGATGTTGCCTGTAAGCTTAAATGATACACAACGGCCCATCTCAGGGAACCCTGCCTCCCAGGTAATGAGCATTAAGCTAAAATACCTTTGTTTAGCTCACAGGGAACATCCTGACCAGGCCCATCTGTGCAGGACTGCAGGGAGGAAGGAATTAACACATCGCCTCAGGGGCTGATGGAAACCAGAAGTGTTTGACTCTACTCCCTCCGCTATTAGTATAAAAGGAGCCTGAATTTTAACTCAGGCAAGATGGTTCTTTGGGACGTGAGGCCGCCATCTTCTTGGTCTGCTGGATTTCTGAATAAAGTCACTATTCCTTGCCCCAGCAACTCATTTCTTGATTTATTGGCCTGTAGTGTGGTGAGCAGCACGAGCTTGGACTCTTAACAAATTTTGGCGCAGCCAGCCAGGAGCCTTGCTACTTGTGGCTAGCCAGCCCTGGTTGGGGAACTTGGGGGTAAGGCCCTAGCAGCTGCTGGGACAGCTTGTCCTGAGGATCTTTACCTTCAAAATTCCCCAAAGTGGCACCAGCTTCCCCAGAGCTTGACAGTTGGAGCAATAAATCGACGTTTGGGAGCCAACAAGCTCCATACAGTAGGGTAAGTTGCTCCGGTGTGTACAGCCGGGAACTTTTTCCTCTGTTTGGGGCTTTTTCTCCAGAATAAGCCAATTTGTTTTGTATTTGAGTGGGGTGCACTGTTGGAGAGAGGAAGGAGTTGTCGGACTTATATCTGATTTGTGAACTGGTTCGTTTGTTCCTGTGGATGCTAGTATTTGTGAGTGCAGTTTGTGTTTTGTCTTGAATTTCTGTCTTTAAAAATGGAGAATGTTTCAATTATCCCTCAAGTCCTCTGAGGCTCGTTTTGGGTAAGTGATCTGATTACAGCTATGAACCCATGGGTGAGAGAAAGATGACACTTCATCATAACAATGTGTGGCCACAGTACCTGTTAGGATCTGCACAAAGGATTTAGGCAGGGTTATCTTGGGACCCTGTGCACCATGTACTGCTTTCCTTGCTGTGTTAAGTACTTTGTTTATGGTCTCCTGTGTTGTTGGTATATATAAAACCCCAAGACCAAACTTGAGGGTTTATTTAAGATTTTGTTTGTCGTTTGGGTTTTTCATTTCATTTTGTTTGGTACTGTTTCTCCATTTACAGCCAAATCAGTTGTGATATTTAAAACTTTTACTGATGTTAAATGGAGGAAAGGAACAGAAAAAACCAAACAAAACCAAACCAAAAAACTGTCTGTTCTTATCTAAGAGTGGGGCATTCTCAGGAAGAAGAGGAAGGTTCCACTTGGTTCCTAAAATCACCAAAAGCTACGAATAGAAATAGAAGCAAAATAAATATTAGTAACAAGGGTTCAGCCATACAGACCGGTGATCTTGACTTGTCCCATCTGCCAGAAACCCAATTTGAATCCAACCTCTTTTGTAACTGGTTAGTTTTACATTGTTGTACTTGATTCATGGCTGAAATGTTGGAATGGGAACTGTGAGGTCCCTGTGTTTGTGTGTTTGTACATGTTACAGATGTGTAGCACTGCCAACATTAATGTGCAAAAGAGCTCTATTTATTTGGCTTAAAGGAAATTAAGCACTTATGTAAATACTCAAATATAAAAGAAACTAGCTAGAATGAATTCTGGGTTCATGTGATCTAGGAAATACTCAGTATTGAACTAATATCTGGTATTAAGGTTTGCGTAAGCTTGTTGGTTTGATTTCCACAGACATATCTTTAGAGTCATCAACATTAAGTATAATGCTGTTATTGTACCTAAGTTTGCTAGAAATCAAATAAGACCTATCCTTTTTTTTTGTTTAAATAAATTTATTTATTTATTTATTGGCTGCACTGGGTCTTTGTTGCTGTGCCCGGGCTTTCTTTAGTTGTGGTGAGCAGGGGCTACTCTTTGTTGAGGTGCATGGGCTTCTCATTGTGGTGGCTTCTCTTGTTGTGGAGCACAGGCTCTAGGTGCATGGACTTCAGTAGTTGCAGCACACAGGCTCAGTAGTTGTGGCTCGTGGACTATAATGCACAGGCTCAGTAGTTGTGGCACATGGGCTTAGTTGCTCCGCAGCATGTGGGATCTTCCCAGACCAGGGCTCGAACCCATGTCCCCTGCACTGGCAGGTGGATTCTTAACAACTGCACCACCAGGGAAGTCCCAATACCTATTCTTGTTAA